ATCATTCTGTTGATCAATTCTGCAAATCCCTTTTGTAGATCGATTTTGCAGATCACTTTGTAGATCCGTTTACAATATTTACTGATTATATAAATAATAAAATAGTTAAATCATATTAAAATCTCAGATAATATTATCTAATAATCTACTGATTAGAATTTTTGTGAATATACATTATCATATTCACTGAGATACACTCATCAAAACTATATGAGAGCTTTGCAATAGAAAGGGAGAAAACTCTAAAAAAATTAAAAATTTACTTTTTAAGCTAATTATGATTTTTTTTTTAAAATAAGTCCAGATTTAATATTAACTCAAAAAAAAAATTTTTTTAGAGTTTCCTTCCTTTCGATTGCAAAGCTCCTATATATGTTGCATTTTTAACAAATATCTGAACAATATTAAGAAAATATGTTAAAAATGTTTATTTTAAGTTTCGTAATCAATATATTTTTTGAAATTTCAGAAATTCTCAGAATTGTATTTTGCCATCAAAATGAGTTATACAAAATAACAAATATGAATACACAGTTGCATAAATTTCTAAAAATGATCTTTTTATCTATAAAAAATCAGAAAATCACCAAAAATGTATTACATAAATTTCCAAAAATGTTAATTTATATAATATTAGATCCTGTAATAATATGACTTTTATTGACTTATGAATCAACTGAAACAATTTAAATTAAAATGAATAGAGTCAATTTATTAACTTGACTAAACTAATAACTCAATATGAATCAAATAAATCAGAAAATTTTTGACTTGATTCAACTTAAACTTGACTTGATACATTTGACTCATGAGTTAACTCAACTCATTTGAAGTTCTAGCTTTACTATTTTTGAATTTTACAGATTTTTTAATAAAGGTAAAACTTGGTTAAATTATATTAAAATCTTATTATTTAGACATCTAATTTACTTTAGATTTTATTTAGCAATCTTAATTATTATGTAATTTATAAATTAATAAATTATAAGTATTTCCTTATTATTAGATCATATTAAAACATTTCCTTGAATATATACAATAAGTAAAGTAATTTTATTGTTATCCTATTTTAATGATTTTCTTTAATATTTTTTATCAATTATATTTTTTTATTATTTCAAGATTTTGTTTTGATAAACTAGTATTATTATTATTATTAGTCTGAAGTATAAGTAAAGTTTTATTATAATTAAGTCTAGCAATATTAATAAAAATATTTGTATATCTGTTTGCTTAAAAATAAAGTTAATACGTGATTAGTTACTTTTATTATACATGTGTTTCAAACTCAACAACAGTTTTCACAAATTATTTTTTAGTCATTAAACTTTTTAATTAAATAAAATAATTACATGTTAAAATATAATTAACTATAAAAATAAAAAATAAAATGTATTTATACTTTCAAATTAATTTGGTTTTGAATTTCATAAATATTAAAAAGTTTGACTTAATTGAAGCTAAAATTGTTTATTTAAACTTATTTTAGATTTAGCTAAAATTTAAATCTTTAGTTTTACTATTTTTTACTAAAATTTTGATATGGTTTTACTATTTTTATAAGCTATAATAAAGTTTTATTTTTTTCTAAATTTCATAGATTTTAGAATAAAGTTTTTATAATTTTATCTTTACTATTTAAATGTTTAGTTAAACTTTATATTTTATTTAATAAATTTAGTTGAGACTATTATAATAATTAATATGGTTGAGGCTATTGTAATTGTTAAAAAATTAAGAAAAATAAGAAAAAATATATAAATATAATAAATATTATTAAAGAAGAATTTGAAAATAAAATACTAAAAGGATATTTTTTGAAATATATTATTAAAAATTTAACATTTTTGATTCTTCAAAAATATTTACTTACTGATATTTGAAAGTAAAAATGATTATTAATTAAATAATTTATTAATACTTATAAAATTTTTATACTTAAATGCAAAAGATTTAAAATTCATTTTTGAGATTTTTTTAAAAAATATGATGATACTTAAATTTAATTGGTTACTTAATATTTGCATTAAGTATACCTACAAAAAATTTGATATTTTTAATATAAATTTGATACTAAATAAAGATGAAAACCGTAATTAATATGTTATAATTTTTAATGTTACAATATACGTTGCAATTTGTTTTAACCTATATATATTGCAACTCATACTGTTGCAACATATGTTGCAACTAATTTTAGCATATTTTACAATAATTTGTAAATTTGAAATCAATTGCTACACCATCTTTAATACTAAATTTAACTAATTATTTAATTATTTTATATAAAATTTATTAATAAAAATTGCATCAATCAGAATTAAATAGATCTATTATATATAAAATATAATTTAATTATTATTATTTTTAATTATAATTAATTCTATTAATATATCATATAATTTAGTTATTTATATTTTGATTATTTTAATATTTTTTAAAATAATTTATTAAATTTTATTAAAATATTTTTTTTTTCAAAAAAGGGTTTAGGCAGGTACAGTCAACCCTTGATATAACGAATTTTATGTCCTGAACTTCAACTTCGCTATAAAGCTATAATGAATTTTTTAAAGAATTTGATTGGCTAGTTCGTTATAACGAGGGTAAATTTAATATAGTTGTCCAAAAAATTCGTTATATAAAAATTCGCTATAGAGAGGTATGACTGTATTACTAATTATGACTTTGCATTAACAAAATAAATTTTTTCTGAATTTACAAACTAATAAATAATTTTTTCATCAGAATTTTAGAGAAATTTATTAGTATAATGAAAAAACAATATATTAAAATTAATATCATTTATATATTTCTGATATTATATTGTTATCTTACAATACTAACGATTGAAAATTAGTATTGATGCAAGATTAATAAAGGATTTAGCTTTAAGACTTTATAATACGATTTATGAAAAGCTTCTGAAGGTTTATCGATCAAATATATTTTTAGAGACAAAGTATGATTTATGGATTAAGTAATTTAGAGTTTTTATTAAAGTAAAGAATTATTACAAATGTATTTATTTGCATACAAGTATTTTAATAATTATCTTGTTAACGATAAAACTAAGTAAATTCTCTACTTCTTATATTATTGAAGTTTTAAAGCTACCCTATTTATAAAAAATAAAATAATAATAATAATAAAAATATAAATAAAAATAAAAAATGTAATAATTGGTCTTTCATCGTATATCTGACATATATTACATATATAGCAGATTTGACAGATTTGGTATTTTTCACAGATTTGCCAGTTTTGGTTGATTGGACAGATTTCGAGGATCTGCCAATTTTAGCTGATTGGATGGATTTTGTAAAAAGGTAAAAATCATGTGATCTATAAGATAACTTTTTAATTTATTATAATATGTTTTATATATATATAATATATGACTATTTCTATTCTATCTAAAATATTGATTATTTAAACCAGAATTTTCTAAGCAATAAATAGCATAAAAATGTCTTTATATCAAGGTTCTAATCAAGATTTATTTTTTGAAAATATTCTTCAGAATATTAAGTTATTATATGATCTTAACTATCTTTCAAAAATCCTGTATGTTTCTTATATAACCTTTGATACAAGACATGTTACAAATGATGAATTAAATATATAAGCTTTTTGAGTGATAAAAGAGTCACACAATCATATGATAATATGATTTTTCTAGTATAATCACCAAAAAGTCATTAGCATATGATCTTAATTTGCTAATCATTTTCAAAAATAAGTAATACATTTTAATAAAAAAAATTTGATTTTATTTTTTTTGAATAAGACTTAGTAAAGATACTATACAAATTCTAAAATCACATCTTATATGCAATTTTTGTCTTCTCTATAGGGAGGAAATTTACAGATTTCTTTGTAAAGTAACTTTTAAAAAATACAATATGTAAGTTAAAAAATGGAATTTAAAACCTTCCTATATGATTTCAACAGTTAAAGGGAATTTAAATTAAGTTTAAAACAAAAATTTTTGCGAAAACTAATCTATCTATTTTTAGATAAGATTAGCAAAATCATCACGTGTCGGTGAATTTTTGTTACGCTGGGGAAATTATCCATCTATCATGCTAAATAAAAAGCTTTAAAATGTTATATATCTAATGAAATTTATTTGAGAAAAAACGTAAAATTATGGTACAAATTATATAAAAAAATTTAATAAAAAAGTTTTAACAAAAAAGAAAAAAATATGAATATATTAATATATTATTTATATTTTACAACAGCACGGACGTAGGCGAGTAAAACCGTCAGCTGAAGTTGAGAAGCTTCGTAAAGAAAAAGAAGCAACCAAAATAAAAGAATATAATAATTTAGTTACATCATGCTTTGAAAAGGTGAATTATTTCTAAACTACTTTTTAGCTGCATTAGATTAAATCTTTAACTATAATATTGATTTTATTCATTAGAGAGATAAAAATGAATTTGATAATGATGCTTTTACAATAACTACAAAAATCTTATCACAAAATCCTGATTTTTATACAATATGGAACTTTAGGAGATCGGTTTTATTATATGGAATTCTGAAAGAATGGTATGCGCAATGAAATTCATTTAAATATAAAATTTGTTTAAATAAATAAATATATTTATTTTTTCCATTAGTTCGGAAAAAGATAATCAACAAACTTTATCAACTGAGCTAGGTTTTCTCCAAGAACTCTTTAAGTTAAATCCAAAATCTTATTGGATTTTCAATCATAGAAGATGGTGCTTGGAGAAAATACCAAATCCAGATTGGAATATGGAATTAAAACTTGTTGGCAAATTTTTGGAAATGGACGCTAGAAATTGTAAACATTTTAGAAGTATTTTTTTTTTTTTAAAAAAAAATATATATATATATATATACCTTAACATATTTATTCATCCAAAAGTTCACGCGTGGGATTATCGACGCTATGTGACATCCCAACTTTCTTCCACCATTAAAACTTCGCTCACTCAAACCGAATTCGATTTTACTACTACAAAGATTAATCAAAATTTTTCTAATTATTCGGCTTGGCATCAACGGAGTAAATTATTGCCGCGTTTAATAAAAGAGCAAAATTTGGATGAACAGGACAAGAAAAACCTTGTTAATAAAGGTAAGTACAAGCAAGCAGTCTATTAATGAATTTTCTTATATGAATATTTTTAATTAAAAAGTCCAAAAATCATTTATTATTCAAGAATTTGAATTGGTAAAGGCTGCGTTTTACACTGATCCAGATGATCAAAGTGCTTGGCTATACCATTGGTGGTTGGTTGGTCGAGGTGTGAAAATGTTTATATAATGTCAGTTAATTTTATTTACAAAATTACTAGTTTAATGACAAAAAGTTTTTAAATTAGAAATTCAACATATCTCTTTGCTTGGCGCATATTATAATCCGAAAATGCGACAAGTTGTATTGGCATTTGATGATGAAATTGGAATGGTGATTCCATTTCAAGTAACTAAAAAGATAAATGATAAATCCCCTTCAAGTTACATTGAAGGAATGTGGAGACCTGCTGGAGGAGAATTAAAACATGATCAGCTTAATATTGATAGAAGTTATGGCTTTGTTTGGATTTTTACATTTTTTGATTCTGTGAAGGATGATTTTACAGAATTAATCGTCACGGTAAAGCCAGAATTTATCGTGCCATCACATTCTGAGATCAAGTTAACAAGAACTATTCAAAGGCATTGTATTATTAACGACGATTATAATTTAGAAAACGGTGAGGAATTTATTTATTTGAATTCATTTATTAATTTTAAAAATAATAATATTATTACTATAATTTAGACTTCATTATATCTATGTCACATTTGAGTGTAAGTGATGTATTAAAGGAATCATCAAGTTCTTTAAGTCAGAATCCAGATACTTTACCAATAGATGCGTCAGAAAGGATTAAACTTTTACAACGTGAAATTAGTATGGTTCGAGAACTATTGGAATTGGAACCAGATAGCAAATGTTTGTATATAATATAGGCACGATATATTTTTTTTATTTATTTTTTATTTTATTTATTTTATTTTATTTGTTATTTTAGGGTGTTTACAGACTTTAGCAAATCTCTTAAGAGAATTAAAATACATTTCTGGAACAAATATGGAAGAGACTTCGAAGATCGATTATGAGGTTGTTACAATTTGTGATCATTTAATTAAGATTGATAAGTTGAGAACAAAAAGATTTGAAGATTTACGTAAGTTCACCATATTCGATTATACTTTTACAACAGTCAATATTTAACTAATATTATGTAACTTAATTAGGTTCAAAAGCGATTTTTGAGTCGGCAACTAAATCATTAATCAAACTTGTTTCAAAAGAATTAGCATATAGTGATGATATAGAACAATATCAAAACTCGACATTTTCACTTGAATCCAAAAACCTTACAATAATTCCTACTCCATCAATTTTATTATATATTACCAAATTAAACTTATCAAATAATAAGCTTACATCAATAAAGTTTCTTGCTAATTTAATTGACTTAAAAGAAATTGATGTAAGTAATAATTGTATTACAGATATAAGTGGAGTTAGTAAGTTAAGAAATTTAAAAGATTTGAAAATACAAAATAATTATATCAAAAATTGGGAAGAGGTAAAGAACGGATTTATTGGATGGCAAGGGGTTGAATGTAATATTTATATATTTGGAAATCCATTAATTGTAAATAATAATGAAGTAGAAAATTTGAAAATTGGATGGGAGGATGAGATTAAGGAATATGGTGATCAATTGAAAATTATATGGAAATAAAATTTGAATTATTTACTAGATTATTTTTTTCAAACTTATTGTAAATAAAAGATTAAATAATTGTATATGATTATTATTTAATATAAATTACTTTATTTTTAAATATAAAATACATAATTTAAAATTCCAATAGATTATTGTTATATCAAAAAAAAAAAAAGTTAGCAAATGGAATAAGCAATATATTTTTAATATTTCTTATATATATAGTAATTAGATGGTTTTTTTGTTTTTTTTTTTTAAGTTTGTAAAGGGAATTATTAATAACATAAAATACATTGTTTAAATATTATTATAATTCTTTTTAATCAAAGATATTAACTTTATTAATAAATTTACATTTAATAATTTTATTGATAATAAGTTATAAAATTATAATAATAACAGTTTTTTTTATAATAAATTTAATAATGTTTTATTATGATAATTATTATTTTGATATCTTAATAATAATTATTTATTTTTTTAATTTAATCAATATTATCTGATAAATCTATTTTAGTGATCGACAAGTCTCCAAAAAAAAACCAAAATTTCGAATTTTCAAATCTAAAAAAAAAAATGAAATTTGAACTATATGACAAACAATTAAAACAATGGCCAGAAACTGGACGTCATATTTTAGGACAATACGACGATGAATCAATTATTGTTTATCAAGCTTATAACAATTCTATAGCTGACTACGCTATTCAGCATCAAAAATTTGGTGGGAAGGAATTTTCATGGAAGGTAAATGGGGCTTATACTACATTCTTTATTAATCTTTGTTATAAATTTAAATTTTACATAATTCATTTTAGAGAATGACATGGATTAAAACCAATTTTACTTGGATGATGTATAGATCTGGATGGGCCACCAAAAAGAATCAAGAAAGAGTAAGTAATTATTACAATTTGTTTGTTGATTTATTTTTTATCAGTTTTTAAAAATTAATTTCTTTATAAAAAAATTTATGATTCAGATTTTGGCAATAAAATTAACAAGAAAAGGATTTGAAGAAATTTTAGCAGAAGCGGCATTAACAAGTTTCAGTCAACATCTATCATCTAATTCACAATCTAATACACCAAGTACTTCCCGATCTAATAAATCCTCGAAATCAAGATCTAATAAATCCTTCAAATCACGATCCGATAAATCCTCCAAATCACGATCCGATAAATCCTCCAAATCACGATCCGATAAATCCTCCAAATCACGATCTGATGAATCCTCCAAATCACGATCCGATACATTCTCCACTTTACAACACGAATGGAAAGAACAATTAGAAACGTCACAAGTAAGATTACAATGGGATCCAGACCATGATCTACATGGAGAAAAGATGCAAAGAAGGGCAATACAACTTGGTATAAAAAACAATATATTGCAAAAATATTCTAATGAATGGATAATTAGTATTGAAGATATCACAGAATTTGTTAGAGAACAATATGAATTGATTAAATCAAATAAATTGGATGAAGTTAGAACTCCCGAGGAGCGAGAATATAAAATTGGCGACAATTTATCAAAAGAAAAATTAGGTATGAACTTTGTTGATTCCAAACCGTTCCAAGATGAGTCTGAACCCGAACCCGATTTCTATAAAAGAATCCGTAATTTCATTAATTCCATATGTATTAAAATTAAAGAAGCATTATATAGAGTAACTAATTTCTTCAGGGAAAAAATTTTAACTTGGATTTGATCGATCATTAAAGTTACACGAGTAGTACTTTTATTTTTGAATAACAAACAATCTAAATATATACAATAAATGTTTTATAAAAAAAAAAAAAATTTAAAAATAAACATAATCTCTGTCACTGTCATGCTTTTTAATTATGATTGGTTTTGGTGGTAAAGGAGGTCGAGGCCGAGGTGGAAGAGGGTTAATAATATCTCTTTGAGAGAAAACTGGCTTATGTTTCGGTTTTGAATGAGAATTATCATTATCTTCTCTAATATTGATTTGTTTTCTTCTCCTTCGTTGAAATAGCTCCCACAAAACACCAATCAAGGCCATGAAGATAACAATGAGCCAAACAGAAATTAAACACCAAAATAATAGTAATTCGGACCTTAAGGTCTCTTCATAGGCGTCAAATATTTTGCCTATTTCACCACCAATTTCACCATCGTTATTACTACTACCAACAAGTTCATTTGTGGCTTGACCAACCACAAAATTATTCATATCATTATTAATATCCGACAAGACAGCTTCATTTACGCGCGGTAAACCAATGAAAGCATTTTCGCTAATAAAATTTAGTCCGGCTTGGATTCCTTCAATTTTATTCAAAATTAAACAATCAACTAATTGATTTACGGATGTTAACAATATTGGTACACCGCCAAAAGTATTCTGAACAAAGGTCGAAATTTCATCTACTGCGGCATTTAACGTATTATTTAACGTATTCGTTGTCGTATTGACCCATCCGAATAAATTCTGATTCAAATCATTCTCTAACGAAAGGATTGCGGTATTACTATCGTTTGAAAATGTTTTAGAAGCCGAAATTAATTGCGAATCAATTAAATTTGCGATAGAATTACTAAAGTCATTAATTGAATCAACAATTGTTTGTTTATTAATCTGTTTGACTGTATTAAGGATAAAAATTTGTAAATAAATTCCTAATACACCAGTTAATCCTATCAATAAACAGATCAATGCCGGTTTATGAAGGATATAATGCCAGAACCATATAAACAAATCTTTATTTTCATTGTTCTTAAAATTCTTTGACCTTTTTGTAATCCATATGAAAATATCTTCCATTCTAATTAATCTAAAACCAGTTTTTTTATTTTTAAGCCAAATAATCACCATATTAATTACGATCATTAATAATATTATCGCAATAAGAATTCCAATGCCGATATATGCTCCTTTAATCAGTTCTTGTGAAACTTCATCAAAAATATCAAGATTTAAATTATCAGCACAAAATTTTACTTGATTTTTTGGTGGTATTGGTAAAACACTTTGATTGAATTTAATATCAGAAACGGCATCTTTAACAATTCCTCTTAATTCATTAAACGGAACTGATGCTAAATCTGAAATTTTCGTTTCGATTTCATCCATTGAAGGAATATTTTCATTTAATGCATCAAGTCCTTCAACAATATTGGTCGTTGGTAATTGAAAATTAGCCAATTGCTCGGTTGATAAATTAATAGTTGGTATATTTATATTATTTATATTTCCTATGATTCCAATTTTTTTTCTTAGATCATCAAGTGATGAATTTATTCCTGCTATTTCATTATCTAACCCGGATTTAATTCCACTGATCATTTCATTTGCTGAATTACCTAATACTTTGACAGATTCTGATAATGCGCCAATCGATCCTCTTACTGCAAATTCCAAAAGACATAGATATGTCCTTTTGTATACATGAATTAACCAAGTAATAATACCTTCTATTGCAACTAACGATAAATCTATCGTTTTTGCAAATCCTCTAATTGCAAGGTTTACACTATCAACCGTTGCTCGATTGAATCCACCTGCCATAATATGCGGAAGGGATACTACTGCTGACGCAGTAAGTTCGAGTGAAGAACATGAACTAATTGCCTTATCTTTGGCTCTTTCAACAAGCGGTCCAATAGATTTGATAGAAATAAATAGGCGTATGGTTATAATTATCAATGAAATTATCGCATATTCTATCCATGATTGTGAAAGTTTGCTCCTTAATCCAAGAATACTTTTAGGTGATTGAGGAGACGGTGGAATATCTATTGTATTTTTTTCAGGAAATGACTTTTCTCCTGTAGAACTTTCTTGATTCATTCGAGGAGACGTAATTCTCTGTCTAAATACTTCATCCGATTGTAAACTTGGTGATGCTGGTAATGCATATCCAGTTGATGACGCACCAGGCGACGATTTATTAAGTGAAAGATGCATAAAAAATGAAAGTAAAGTTATAAATTTTTTTTTTAATAAAAGAAATTCAACAAGTTTATACACATTATATATTTTTTATTTGTTTACTTATTTTTAAAATTTATCTAATTTACTATATTAAGACAATAAAAGAATTTATTATATTTTAGTTGTTCAATTATATATATGAAATTATGAAACAAACAAAGGGATATATATTGATATGCAACAAAAAATTATAAACAAATAAAGAGATGATGAAACAAGGTTGCAATAAAACTTATCAGGGGAGGGACCGAACGATTTCATGTATAAATTTAGAAATTCCTATTGTTACTTTAATGATTATGAACCAAAAAAGAATTCATCTCATTTTCCATGCAGCAGTATATCCGGATATTATTATTGACTTGTGTTCCAAATTTCTAAAGCATGGAAATCTTGTTGGACCGAATTCATAACTCAAATAATTATCTATTTTCTAAAAGATTGCCGCAAATACCACGATCATGGACAACGGGAAAAGATTGCCACTAGCAATTTTAAATAATTTTTTTATTACAAAAATAAAATTTTAGAATCGATCGGCGTGAACAATTGTTCATGCGCACGTGATTTTAGGTATGGGAATTGTCTTTTATGGAATGTAGGTTAGACAGTAAAAAAGGAAATCATTGTTCAAGTTATCGAGGCCCTTATTTGTTGAACTTCTTATACATTCATTTACAAGAAAATAATGTTTCGCTTTGAACTTTTATGCTTTATTGGTAGAATTCCTGCAATTACACTTATTTCTCTATATACAGTCAGTATTAAAGTTATACACTAGTTATACTAGAGTAAACTCATTAAATTCATCGCTATCATCAAAATTTTCATTCAAATAATCATTATTTTTTTGATTTGGACTATTTCCACCACTTTCGGAATCAGTGTTTTATCTTGCTCTTTACGATTTTCTAGTATATATCTCAGGGCTTCGATCTTGAAGTTTACATTCGGAAGTTTCCATCCACTATATATTTTCTTGTGGTTTCCAGAGACTTTAATATCATATCCATGTCTTTGTGCAAAATCAATATAAAGTTCACACAAGTAACAACATCTTTTAGACACTGCTATAAACTCCCTACTTTAATTATATTGTCAATAATCAGCGCTAATATGTACATTTCCGCATGTAAGTATATGCGTTGTTTAACGTCATTGCCGTCAAGCTGTTGTCGTTGTTGTGTGGTTTTATCAGTATATACTTTTCTCCTTCTTTCTATTACTTTAGACTTTTTAGAACACATATCCATGAAACGTTTATAGTCATCTTCATCAATAAACCTTTAGATAATATTTTTCCACGAATATATGTGCTGACTATTTACACTCTAATATTAGAGATTAGCGATTTGTATTGTATATTACGAGCACATCCTATGATACCTAACATAAACCCAGCATAAGACCAAACTTTCTTAATGTGTCCTAAAAATTTTGAAGGGATGTTAGGATTATCTTTAACCTTCTTATAATACCCGGGACATCTTGTATATTTTTTATTTGATTTTTGTCATTAACCTTAGTTGAAAAAAATCTTTAAAGGATTTAACGTATTCACTATCACCGTTGTTTTTAATATCTTTCTTAAGTTTTTCCAATCTAGACTCAAGTTTAGCAGAACAGTATAACTACTTCACAGCTTTGGAGAAAGCTTTTTCAGTATCTTTTAATTTCGTCTCGATATATCTTACAGATTATTCTTAATTTCATCAATATACATACAGTGACTTTCATAATCTTCGTTTAAAATTTTTAAATTGTAATATCGTTAAATCTATTTATCATACAATAAAAAAAATTTATTAATTAATAAACCTCGGACTTCCTTTATTATTTATTAAAATTTAATTTGCACATTATTGACTTTTCCAAAAAAAAAAAATCTTTGAATCATAAAACTTTGCGGTGCAATACTTTTGGCATATATCAAAAAAAAATTTTTTGATTACATACATATTTTTCAATAAAATTTCTAACCCTATTTGAAATTTTTTTTTTAAAACCCAATCTCCACTTCGTATATCCTCCACTAGCCTTAATAACATCTTTAACCCGTTGTGACATTGTGTTAATTAATTTTAAACAAACATCAACATCAATCTGATTCCATATTGTTGGATTTTATTCCACAAATCTTCTGCACTGGTAATATTATTAGGAAGCTGTCACAAACAATAATCAACTTCATTTCACAAATGTTTGATGGGATTCAAGTCTGGTGATTATTCTGGCTAATCCAAAACCTCAACATTATTGTCATCAAACCACTCAATTGTCTTATTAGCTGTAAGCTTTGGGTCGTTATCCTGTTGGAAAAGACATCATTCACAGTTAAATTACATGCACTAAGATTTCCAAGGAACTCATCTTTCAAAATGTCTCAATATAAGTCTCCATTCATTCTTTCATAAATTTTACAGTATCATCCCATACCAAATGCACTCATACAACCTCATATCATCACAGAAACTTAACAGCTGATTAATATGTTGTGGCTGCAAAGGTAAATTTGGATTCTTCCAATACTATTTCCTGCCATCTGAGCCAAAAATTATAAATTTACTTTTATCTGATCATATCACCCTTTTCCAATCTTCTACAGTACTTTTAACAAATTTTTTTTAGAGCAATTCTATATCTCTTTAAGAGCAATGTGATTTTTTTAATTTAGCAATAAGAATTTCCCTTTTTAATAAACACTAAATTGTATTTAAAGATATATTAATATTTTCATTAGAAATTAAAATTTTTTGGACTTGAACAGATTAGAGCATTTACCCAACTTTATAAGTTTTATAATATTTCTATTATAATACTTTGTAAGAATTCTAGGATAGCCTGATTTTAGATAATATTAAGACTACCAGTTATATTAAGATTACCAGTTTTTTCTTTCCTTTATTTGATTCTTATTATGAAATTCACATTTTTTAAAATTTTATATATTCAAAGTAATAATTTAAATATAATATAATTATTTAAATCAAAATATCTTATTATTGTTACAGTCAGTTCTTTAAAATTGTTTATTTATTATAAATAAATAGGTAATATAAGTAGTAAGCAGAAGGTTAAATTTATAGTTGAAGTTAAATAAAATGTGCATATTAATCATTTATTTGATATAGAATAATAAACAGATAAACTAAGTAAACTAAATAAACTAATAAGATGATGCAAATGATATCGACTTTGTTTGATGAACTACATCATCCTTAAAAATATGAAAATACTATAATTTAATATCTTTTTATAAAAAAAATCTAATAAATTTGCTAAATTATTTAATTATTTCAAACCTATACTGGTCAAAATGATACAATTCAGCCAAAAATCAGATATCTGAATTGTGTCTAAATTATGGCTGAATTGTAATAAATTTGGCCTAATTCCTATTGGCAAAATTCAGCGCTAATAGGACCAATTCAGACATAATAATTTGGACATAATTCGACTAAAAATTAAGCTTAAAATCAATCTAAATTCAGCCACAATTCAGCCAAAAATCATCCTAATTCAACCACTTAAATCAACCACAAATCAACCATAAATCAGATACAAATCAGACATAATTTTCCAAAAATCAACTTAATTCAACCATCTAAAATCAACCTAAAATCGCAAATCAGAACTAATAATTTATTAAATTTATATTTTTATTATTTTACATAATTGATAAATTTCAATTCCTTTAAAAGAAACACTTCTAATATATATAAAAAATAAAGTAAAATAAAGAAATAAATCAAAAATTCCACCTTCAATTGACTTATCATAGTGTATTCCTAAAAAAAATAAGAAAAAAAAAGGAAAATAATAAATTTTCACCTAAAAAGTTACTAAAGATTTGCTTACCTTAATTTAAAAATGAGAAATTTTCTAAAAAAAACAAGAAAAAGAAAAGAAAATAGTAAATTTTCACTTCAAAATTCCCAACAATTTGCTTACCTTAAGAAATTTCCTAAAAAAAAAAATAAAAAAAAAAAAGAAAATGATAAATTTTTACCAAAAAATTTACCAACGATTTGCTTACCTTAATTCTAAGATAATAATTTTCCTAAAAAAAAGAAAAAGAAGGAAAAATCCACTTAAAAGTCACTTCAGATTTACATTTCTTATTTTCAAAATGAGAAATTTAAAGGAAAATCCAACCAAAAACTTGCTTTCAATTATTTATCTTATTTTTAAATGAGATTTTTTTTACAAAAACAAGAAAAAGAAAGGAAAATTTATCTAAAAATTTGTTTCCAATTTACTTATTTTTAAAATGAACATTTTTCTAAAAAAAAAAACAAGAAAAAATAAGAAAAATAGTAAATTTTTACCTAAAAAATTTACCATATTTCCGAAATGAGAATTTTCTTAAAAAAAATGGTAAAAATCTTCAAGATAAAAATAAACTACAGAAAAAAAAAAAAAGGTTATAAGAAAAGAAATTTTTTTCAGATTAATCTGAAAGTTTTCGATTAATCTGAAATTTATTTATAATTGTTCTAGCCAATTAAAACATCGTTTCTATTGAATGATTTATATCGTCCCTAAGGGAACGATAATTTGATTATTCAATCAGACGACTTTTCATCATCCAATTAGAATGATAATGTTGATTTGAACAATAGTGTATCATCCTGAAAAGACGATAGTTTGATTGTTCCAATCAGACGATTTTGCATTATCTAATTGAAATGATATTAAATCGTTCAAATTGAATGATCATCATTCTTATAGAACAATGATGTTGAATCATTCAAATCAAATGATTATCATTCAAAAGGATCGATTTTTATCATTCAAATTGAACAATCATTGTTCCAAAGGGAACAATTTTTATCATTCTTATAGAATGATATTGAATTGTTTAAATTGAACAATCATCATTCCAAAAGGAACGATATTTTATTGTTCTTAAAGGAAAAGCCAGAAATCACGTGATTAGACGCTAATATAAGATCTGATTCCCCTTCCTCGTGATCTGATGCTGATATATTGATAATCTTTTTTGTTGAAAAAAATTATCCATTGCACGCGAACTCCTCTTTCTCACTTATCCATCCATAAGATAATGAAAAGTATGTATTTCTTTTATTTTTTTGCCCTTTAAAGTCGTCATTCATCTTTGCTGACAAATTTATAAAACATTTACTTAGGGAAACGTAATTTTCCTTGGTCTCTATTTTAAAAAAAATTTTGTGCTATAAAGAACTTCGTAAATATTTTCCTTGTTAGTTTTTTCTTTCGTTTCAGATGTTTATAGATACTAAAAAAAAAAATGCAAACTTTTTTAATAAGTCCGAAGTTTGAGAAAAAGTATTTTACAAAAATCCAACACATATATATCATGAGTTTTGTAATGCATGGGCATATCAGAAAATGATTGAACTTTTGAATCCAACATCACCAAACAACAACTATTAGAGCAAGCAAATACTATGTGAGCTAAAATAAAATCAAAGGGTACAAATAAAATTAAGAATATTATTACAAGTTATCTAGCTACTTCAATTCCGTTAAAAAGATATGGATTTCAAATTTTGAATTCCAGGAATTCTAGACCAGTTCACCAAGTTAAACAAAAACCTATAATAATTCACTCCGAGAAAAATCAAACGCCGCCAAATGCAATAGCACAGCAAAATGCTAATTATGAAAGGGAACGTGCTCAAAAAAAATTAGTAGAATATACTACTATGCTTAATATTACAACAGAAAATTCTATGCAACAACAACTTGTACATAAATGGAAATAGAAAAACAAGTAATTGCACAACAAAGTAAACGACTTACCAACTTAAAATGTTATGCAGCAGTACAAGAAAAACTTCAGGACTGAAAGCGACAATTATTAGAAGAAAATATTGTGGAAAAATATGACTCACCTGGTAGACCTTCATATGTTCTTAAAAATCTGGAACTATATGATCAGTTGCATGCATGTATAGAGTTTAGTTCGGCTAATAATCAACGAAGAAAAGAATGGATTAAAGTTCGTACAATTTCACATCTTCGTAAAGCTATGCAAGAAAATTACAATCAATATATGTCAAAATCTAGTCTTCAAACATATTTTTTACCACGTCACCCAAATTCTATTTAAGCAAAACGACATCATCATCCAGCTCTTATTAGAAATGTTGCAATATCTAGAAATGAAATAAATCCGCATGAAGATGGTCATTTTTGTTTAGCATCTGTAAAAAGTGCTAGACAATTTGCAGAAGCTTTCTCTGAATATTCAATTATTATATCACAA